ATAACCATGGTTGGAAACCAATCAAACCAAATGGTAGAATTCATAATCTATATCTATATATATTAAAGGAAGAACCAAGAGTATTGAGGTGACATCATGAGAATTGAGTATTGAGGTGTTGGTGAATTGTGGTTGAGTTTTAGATATCCCACATTGGTGAAGAATTGAAAATTTTGAACAATATGAAGTGTATAAGAAAGGTGGATTGGATGCCTTTGTGTCAAATATGRKGTTTGCCTCATAGGGTTATCTTTCTTTGGATGACCCTATTTGAAATTTATAACCATGGTTGAAGACCAATCAAACCAAATGGTAGAAATTATAGTGCAAAATTTATTATACTATTATATCTTTATATATATATATATATTAAAGGAAGAACCAAGAGTATTGAGTTGACATCATGAGAATTGAGTATTGAGGTGTTGGTGAATTGTTGTTGAGTTTGAGATATCCACATTGGTGAAGAATTGAAAATTTTGAACAATATGAAATGTATAAGAAAGGTGGATTGGATGCCTTTGTGTCATAGGGTTATCTTTCTTTTGATGATCCTCTTTGAAATCTATAACCATGGTTGGAAATCATAGAAACCAAATGGTAGAAATTATAGTGCAAAATTAATTATATTATATTATTATATTTATATAAAAGTAAAATCTCTCTCTCTCAATATATATATATATATATATATGTGTGTGTGTGTGTGTGTATTATAATTTCACTAATTGTATTTTATTTAACTTTTTCGAATTATTTGAATACTATTTGTTGATGATTTTATTAACAACTAATATATATTTATATAAACAATCTTCAGATTATTAATCAAAATACTCATACTACCGCGCAACGCACGGTTCCCATACTAGTAACATATAATAAGAAGTGTTACCTTTTTTACAAACAAAATCTCTCTCAAAAATAATATTTCATATTTATTTAAGAAATATTTTACTCTATAATATTTAATTTGCATGTAACTTAATAAGAAAAAGTCAAAAAATATTAAATGTTTTTTTTAGATCATAGTAATGAAAAATAAAAATCATTAATAATAATTTGAAATATGTTTTTATTTTTATTTTAGTTAAGTTATTAAAGTGATGTGTCATCTACATCACCTCATTAAAGCCACACAAGCAAAAAAAGTCAATGGATTAACCGGTTTAAAAGGTAACATGTTACCCATTGCTATTATGGGTAGATTTTTTAAAGTACGATGCGTTAATAAAAAATAATTTGAGAGTACATTGCTGTAATAAAAAAAACAAAAATAGAATGTTATAATAAGAAATTTTATGAAAGTAGGTTTTATTTCATGCATTTAACCCTAAATAATATATATTAACGATTTAATACAATGTTTTTAGTTAATTCCTGGTTCGGTCCAGGTACCACGGATACCTAAAATTCAAAACCGAAACCGACCCGTGAGTACTTGATTTTTTCAATGTTTTTTTGATTTTTGGATTTCGGTTTTTTCAATCTCATATCAAACAGTTTGGTCAGTTTCTTGACTTTTTGAACACCCCTACATCTAAGGTTAGAGCACCCATATGGGGCTTGCAATTTGAATTGCAAATTGACTTTTGTCAGGTATCTTGCTGCCATGTAGGATCTCAATTGCAAAATTTGCAATTCACATTGAAAGCCACGTGGGCCATCAACCTCCTCTTCAATTTCTTTTTTTTTTTTTTATTATTTAAATAAATTAATTTTTATAATATTAATATATTTATTAATTATATTAATT